ACTTTCCATTACATTATGTTAAGTCTTTATGGCATTAACTCGCACTTCAATTGCATTGCGTCGATCTTCCATCGCATTATATCAACTCTACATGACATTAATTCAAAACAATTTTACGTGGTGTAAAGATGTTTTTATATAATTTCAACTCATTATTACATTATGTGCACTCTCCACTATTTGGTCTAAGGAGTTCATTACATGATGTGAATATATCTTTAATTCAATATCAAGTCGCTATAACACGATGTCAGAATTTCATTATACATGTATAATGTGAAAAAAATTGTCACATGTGGCCAATTCTTTACTATATTGTGTCATCAATTTGCTACATGACGACGGGAATCTATTACATGATGTCAATTTTCCCTTACTTTCTGACAAATCATTATTGTTATGCCATTGTATCTTTACATTGTGTCTAAAATGCTTAGCCTCTTGTCAGTATATCTAAGAATATTTCATCTCTTTATCGTGTGACGTAAGGTTTAGGTTATGCCTAAAAGTTCGTTTTGTGTTTTCAATATTACATTTATGCACATATGTTAAACATCCAAATAATTTAAATTAAACATATCAAATATTAAATTATACACAAGACTTAATTAATCCTTTCTTAAATATCAGGTTAAATTTAGAAATAGGATCATGTTCCCATGGATTCTTTATTGACGACTGTTTTTTTTTTAACGTCGAAATTCAATGGTCGTTTAATCTCATAATTATCGCAAATCAAATAGTATGTGTCATGCAGCAATATTTTTCTTATTCTTTTGAATTAATTATTAAAGTCCAAAACTTCTGATCTAACTATAAAACACTGTCCTAAGCTTTTTATCAGTCCTTAACCCTCTTTTTTTTTTTTTTTTTTTAAGTGTAAACACATAGTATTTCATACGTGCACTGGTGGGTCGGTGGGGGAGAGGGGGGATCCCGCCCTCCCATCTTTAGTGACCAAAATATGCATGAAATTAATCAATTGATTTTACTTTGTAGGAAATTGCATTAGTTTTACATAAAGTATAACTGAAATAAGTTGAAACGTTTTATAAAAAAAAAAATCTAAAGCCTGAGAGCTTCCGGGCTTTCAACCCAACTTAGACACCATATCGTCCCCCTATAGCTACTTTTTTTCAAAAACCCAAGATCGCCACTGATATGAGCCCATGTTTACTAAGGCATGGTCAATTGATTTAAGTGAGGGACTGGTAGATTTTTGTAACAGAATTCTGGTCCTGGAATGGTTGAAAAATGACTAATTCCAGTGACGTTGCATCGTTTTTGAAAATTTGGGATGGTTTGTCAGCCAGAAAAAATCAACGTACAAGAAAAAGCCAAAAAAAAAAAAAATCCAAACTCGAAAATCCCATTTCGGATGAAAGGGGGGGGCAACTTCGATCAGTCCTAAAAAAAATTCCAAATATACTACATTACCCTTATACTTCAGCAAAAAGTGGGGCTGAAATTCAATGAACATTTTCTACGATAAAGTTAAGTCGGAAATAAGAGGAAGTCAGACCCCCCCCCCCTCATATAATGTGTCTGTAATTCGTCCTAATTAATCAGGACCCCCCCCCTTCCTTCCCAGTCGTGAAAACACGGTTATCAACTTTGACATAATGTTAATGTATTTTACAGCACGTAATGAACATTTGTAATCAACATAATAAAGAATGAACACAATGTAAAGATAGTTTTAAATCACATAAGAAAGAGTTAACATATTCTTATTAAATATCCACATAAAGGAATGGAGTTTTGACATAATGTAATAAAGTGTTGATATAATATGGAACGCCGGGACAGTCTCCATAATATATGTTCACATTATGTTATAAACCTTTTTTACAGCACGTAATAAAGCACTGACATGGGGGTAAGATGTACTCACCTCACATTGTGATGACCTCGGCGTAAAATAAAGATACATTAACATCACGTAATAATGCTTTGTTATAATAGAAATATACAATCACGAAAGGAAATGGACTTTGACTTAATGTAATGATAATCTCAGAATACATGTAAAACGAAATTAAGTTGACGTAATGCAATTTTGACCTTACATATGAAAGAAATGAAATAATATAAAGAAACATTCATTTCACGTAATAAAGTTTTAACACAATGTAAACATATTTTCACTTCACATAATGAACTTTGGTCTTCAAGTTATAAAGTGTCGACATAATGGAAGAATGTATTTACTTCATGTAATGCAGCATTGACATGATGTAAAGATATTTTTACATCACCCCCTAAAAAAACTGACATAACGTAAAGATATGTTCACATAAGGTAATGATAGATTGACATAATGAGTGCATAGTTTTATGCTATAAGGCAGTGATGGCGTTCCATAGAAAACCAGACACGGATTTTAATCTAATGAACTAGCAATAGATCTGGAATATTTAATTGATCCACTATTATAATATACTAATAAAAATGTGTTCCTTTGTAGCTTGAGAAATTATTTACATAAAAAGAATAAAGTAAAACACTCTGATTTCATTTTCATCAAGGGTACATGTACCTAACTTTCTCCTGCAAGAGTAGTACAGGGACGTAGCAACAGGGGGGGGGGGGGGCAGGCCCCCCCACTTTTTTTGCCAACAATACTTTATACTAAAGTAAAGTAATATGAAGGAAATATGGTATTGTAAGGTAAAAAAAATGGATATTGAAAGGAATTGGTAGTGAAAAAAGTTTACCTCTAACCCCCCCCCCCCCCCCCCACCCCCACCCCCAACGAAATCGGATTTTCGACTTTGTACAATTCCTTTTTTTTTTTTTTTGCTTGTCAACTTTTTCAGGTAAGTAATAAAAAAATTTCTGTGGCTGCCCCCCCCCCACTTTCAAAATCGATGCTACGTGCCTGTAGTACATATAAAGCATTTCCTACCTCTTGATTTTTATACGTAATGCCAGTTCTTCGATACTTAATTGTGTATTACTGAATAATAAATAGGGATGATTTATGATGACAAATTATTTTTTCATTATGACGTGTTTTAAAATGTTTTACTAACACATTTAATATTAATCGTAAGATTTCAGGGTCCCATACCTATACTCTAGAAAGTTTTATTTTCAGTTTACCCAGTTTAAATCGAACATTCTACCTCAAAGATTACTGAGTTGAAAGAAGAGTTACCTCTCTTGCGTCACAAGCAATTTAGTGACATTGACACAATTTTAAATTAAATGTTCTCAATATTTTATCATAACAATATAAGTTTACATATTCAGATGTAATTTTTGTGTATAAAATGGAGTTCTTTTTAAACTTTTTCTAAAAATTATTCTCTTAATTAATTGCAAAAATTAAAAGGAAATCATGTTTGAAATTTCAGGGCAATACAGCCCCTTAGAAACAGAATATGCGGTGCAGAGTTAACTCCCCCTCAGAATGATACTGCCCATGCTTCTTTAAAGTGTCTATGCAAGTGCAAATTAAAACACATACAACAGAGCTGATACACATCTAGATTTATGATAAATATACATTGTATTTCTCATTCTTAATTTTCATTTTTTTTTTTTTTTTTTGGTAAATTTTAAGGCAATGGGCCGTAAACTCTAACTATCTGTAGAGGTTTCGATATTGATCTTTACTTCGTAATAAAGGAAAAATTTTAAGCACAACATGGTTATAATTTGAAAAAGAAAACAAAACAAGAGGTTCATGGAGGATATCGCTAACCAGAACACTTTTGCTAGGGAAAAGGCAGAAACAGAATTGAAATATAAATATATATTTTAAAAAGTTCCAATCTATAACAAAGGAGGGCATGATTTTTCTAACTTGAACCTATACTGAGGATGTTTTTAAGGAATATCCGTACTTATCGGGGAATTTTGTTTTAAAATACAGGTTGCGGATTATCCTCTTAAGATTAAGCATCTGAGTTATGCTAAGTACGGAGGTTCGTATAAAAAATACTTTAGCATTAAAAAGGGTATGCTTCAAAACCTTAATTACACCAATAAATAGATATCAAAATTTATGTCATTTATGCAATATACATGCTTACAAAATGATCAAAATTTAACAATAAAGTTTTTCATTTAATTATGCATTACCAACATTATATAACATGTAAGGTTGAAACCCAAAATTACGGAGGTAATTTATTCAATTAATGTATTGGTAACTGCAAAAATAAAACGGGTAGTGAACTCTGTTGACTTGTAAAGCCCACTTATAACCAAAAAATATTTCCCTAAAATATCATTCAGGATTTTATCCATTATTTGTTATATCTTTTAAAATTTGTTCCTATCCAAATATATACGAAAAGAAATCTCTATGTTTTACTGAGCGGGTATAACAAATCGATGTTTGACCAATGAGTGAGATGTTAGACCGGTCGCTGAGATGTTGGACCGCTTACATCACAGAATGGGAGGAGCTTAATCTCATTTTAATTCATTGAAATTCAACAGTGACGGACCTGATGTTACATCACGGAAGACAGTCAAAATACATGTATGTCAAAACAAAAAAAAATGAAAGGTAAAACAAAACATTTATCGACTGAGTTCTCGGGCAAAAATATACAGTTATTGACTGGGTATGAGAGCAACATATGATTTGTTGGACCTGAAGGTGAAAATGTTGCCCGACGCCGCAGTATACAACAGTTTTGTAATACCCTTAACTGCTCACTTAAGATTGATCAATTTAATCAATACACTATAATCAATACGCTATATTATCAATTAGAGAACTATTGTATATGGAAAATTATGGCTTAATCAGTAAATAAAACATCAAGCTGAGAAAGAAGAAAATCAATTATATATTCATTGTATCACAAAAATTATTTATCACAAAACATACTCTTCCCTTCTTCCTTACCTTGCTGTTCGCAACAACTCTAGTAGCTCTTAACTTCGGCCATTTCCGCGTCGCCGATATTGAACGATGATTAATTAATTGTGACATAACACTATACGTTATACGTCACTGGGCCGACGTAATAAACATTTCTTTTGTTGGACTTTTTATCTAGTAATAAATATATAGAAGGATATTTATAAGGGTATAACAATGCGTTTTGTCGACCCTCGAACCAAACTGCCAGACAGTTTGGTTCTTGGGTCCTACAAAACGCATGTTGCCCTCGAACTCAGTCAATAAATGTATAATGCTATATTATAAAAATTTTGGGAAAATAAAACACAACGGATTAAAAGTTTGAAAATAATTGTCTATAATTTACATGTAAACATCTTACATCATAAATAATTGTTTCAACCGGACGGACAAATTAATATGTGAATTTCGTTTAAAGATGAAATTCAGATATTCAAAACAATAAATTAATACAGTAAATTAAAATACGCTGAATACATTCAAACATCTTTACATTTCTTTTTCCATATCTCTTTAAGGAGTTTTGGTGTTAATCTATGTGAGGTCACTAATTCATTTGTTTTATACACACATCCGGGTTTCTGAAAATCGGCGTGAAAGCCGGGTAAATGCGTCATGTTTAATCCGAGTTTTCTCATACACAAAGAAACGTAAACATCCTCTAGATAAAAGAACGGAACATTTTTTGAAACTTTATAAACTTTTTCCACAACCCCAAGACTCGTGACGTATCCTGTTCCGGAACAATATTGCGGATATTCCTTATGCGGGTACATCTCAAAAGGTGCATACCATTTCGATGTGTTAGTTCTAATAGGTTCTCTTGACAGGTTACAAAACCCACCTATAGATTTTTCAAGAACAAAACTATTTTTTCTTAAGGTGGCCTTCAAGGAATCCAAATTAACAAACATATCATCGTCTGTCTTCATAAAATATTTAGCGTTTTTACACTTAGTGCTCGCCCATTTGAAAGCCATCATGGTTTTTAGGGTCAAATTGTTATAGCTATCTACAAAGTCTTCTTGAATGATATCCTGATAGGTGGCACTTTCGGTTTCTATAGCAACCTGGGTGGCAGTATCGGGCGACATTCCTAAAAGAAAGGCGTATCTGACGTCGCCCGTATTTTTCCAAGAGGGAGTTAACCACGTTTCTCTTAGCGCTTTCCTACTTTCCGTGTTCTTATGAGTTGTTGATATAAGCACTAATAAATTAACTGGTTGTTTCCCTTCCTCTGTGCTGCAAATATCCTCATTGTCAAGAATATATGTATAATCATGCGCAAAACATCCTTTGCACATATCGGGCCGCTTTGCAACTGGCCTCCGAGTTTTGAACACAGACTTCCGGTTAGACTTCCGGTTAGTGGTAGGTGCGGGTGTAGGAAGTGTGCTGGTACTTAAACTCCGATAAGAAATAAAAACTTGTAACTCTTTCTTCACATTGTTCGCAATTGGTACCACTGATCTCAGCTGATAATTCACATAAAATAACTGCATAAGCACAATAACTGATATTGTTGTCGTTAGGTATATTATATTTACTATTCCACACGCCGAACACACAATTCTCCTTAACTGGCGAGTGATCGTGTCGCACATGTTGCTGTTACAATGAGGAAGTTTCCTTTATTTTTACTTGACGGAAACCTCAACTACAAAATAAGGAAATAAGCGTAACTAAGAGTCTGATTGATAAGTGATGTAATACAGAGGCGGATGTTCGTTTACTGAATTAAAAGTGTCAGATAAATGGGGTAGGATCAAAATGTTTAATGAACCCTAGAACTAAATATAACGTCATACATTGAATAACATATATATAGTTGTACATTCAAGTATGAAAGGAAATCTCTCTCTCTCTCTCTCTCTCTCTCTCTCTCTCTCTCTCTCTCTCTCTCTCTCTCTCACACAGTTATGATTGTCCCTCTTTAAAATTTATATTAAACCCACCCACCCCCCGAGACATTGGTTAATTCAACCCACACACCCGACCCAACAATACCCCCCCCCTCCCGATAGACAAACTGTGATGATTTTATTTTTCAGTGTTAGTATATGGTTCTTTGTGGCAACATGTTTATTTTAGATACCATTTAGTTTGTACGTTACATGAAAACCTCATGACTATTTGCTCTTTCGGTATAGGCATCGGACCCAAGGGGGGGGGGGGGGGGTAGCCTTTTTTGCAAATGTAGAAATAATGTAGGCATAGGTTAAGGCCCCCCCCCCCCCACTTTCAACAGACACGTTGCAGTGTACATCCAAAAAGGGTAAGTGGAAGTTTTTGTAAAAAAAAAAAAAAAAAAAAAAAAAAATTGGTATTGAGAGAAGCTCGATCCTAACTCCAGCCCCCCCCCCCACCAAGGATATTATGTTTGAACAATGGACCCTTTTATTTTTGCTTGTAAAGTTTTTTTTGTACATGTAAGTTTGAATTTGTTTTTCTCTTTAACTTAGCCCCCCCCCCCCCCATTCAATTTCCCTCCTACGCCAATAATCTGAGACGCGTGCAAGTCCAGGTCGTCTAAATTTTATCTTAAAATTTACCGTGAAGCTAGTCATTATTTATAGGATGATTATACTTGATAAATTGAATATTCATGAAATTGCAACAACATTTATGCTGCACGTAAGATAACATGGCCAAATTTGTTAACAGGTTCCTTTTTTCATTTATTATTCATGAACTGATGTAATCTTATAGATTTAAAAATTTTGATCGATTTTTTATTTGAGAGCAAATTAATGGATTGTTGTAAAAGTGTATAAATGTTTTGCAAATAGAGGTTTACTTGTATTTTAGTATCATTGTAGTATAATATGCAAAAAACAGATTCTTCATTAAGTAAAAAAAAATAGATTTCAATATGAATTCGGTCAGGTAAAACTCCCAGAAAAGTCCATTTAAGGTAGGTCCGTACTTTCAGAGATTTCTGTCAAACTGTTTATTTTTTTATTTGAAAATCTTGAATAAGTCAATATCTAACTAAAGTACCCATAAAAAACATATCTTTGCAGGTTTATTTTCATGTAACATGTCTCGGAGTATATACCTCTAAAAATTCAACAGTCAAAATTCGACATATAGAAGTGAAACATCATATTTTATTTAGATATGTACCAAATCACATCCAATTATTGTTAAAACTTAGGAAAATCATAAATATTCATTTGTCAAGGAAATATTTGAAACTTCTATTTGAAAACAATAAAAAATTGATGTTGATTGTGTCAAAATCTGTCAGAGAAAAAACTCAAAATATCTTTATTTTAAATATTTCTCAAAATCTTTTCTGTTTATATGCTATTTTTTCTTCACAATTATTTTGAATTATATCTTATGTTACCAGAAAAACATACTTTATTGTGGTTGACCAGAACATTTTTACAAAAGATCCTTTTGAACACCCATACCCCCATTTTTGGAATATCTATTTTTTTTCAATTGTTCTTTGCTAAACTTATAAAAAAAGTAAATTTAAAAAGATGATATAGGCTTAAAATGGAAGATAAATAGATCTCAAGTGAGTTTGTTTAAAAAAAATTGAAAGCTTTAGGTCCTTAACGGCAATTAAGAATTCTCTGTCTGTGTATGTACTACATTACATATATAAATCCTATGGACAGAGTGCAAAGTGGTTATTCCTATAAATAATGTACATTAAATGCTTTGTGTGCACAATGACACTATAATAATAAATAAATACTTGCTAAATCATTTTTAATCATCCGAAAAGATTTTATTTCAATAGAAAAGGATAATCAAAATTTTATATCAGTGTGTAAAATTAAAACCAGATCTGTAAAAGGGTGGACCTGCCTTAAAAAACACAAAAGGTTTCTGGACTGTTTCAAATTGGATATGTCACATGTATCCCTTTTGTTTACGAAATGCAATCCAGATAATTAAAAAAAAATCAGAATACAAATTATCCAAACGCGTTCCCTAAATCATTTTATCAAACTACCTTTTTAAAATTCATCAGAAAACAAAGGCTCGTCTTAAATACCAAAACGCATATGCATATTTTAGATGGCAAAAATTACAATGTAACACATTTAAAAAAAAACAGAACAAAATATCGGCGTTTTTTTCTACATTTCAAAAGATTTATATAATTTAACGTAAGTTTAAATCTTATATCACTACTGCCCTGAAGTTTATTGAATTAGAATGGATAATTTAATGTCATTAACGAACTTATTTTAAATTTTTTTAAAAACATGTACATCTAAAAACATTGGGGGTGGGGAAGGGGGCTAAGATAGACTGAGTCCGCTGCCAATCCCTTTATAGGTCAAGATATGTCAATAAAATATATTTTCAGTTAAATGAAACGTAGTGGGTTAGACCTCTCAATGTGTCTTTATGATTTATTGAAATTTAAAAATTCTTTGATAATGTCTTTCTTGGCAAAGTTTAAGCATTCTAAAACAAATGCCACTGTATTTATCCGTCTTGCTTTTCCTTGAATCTGAAAAACCTGAATCTTTCATGCATTTCCTTCCGTACGAAATTTAGAAATAGCAATTTTAATCATTTTCGTACCTTTTATAAACATGTTTTTTTAATCCAGGAAGTCAACTGGGGCCTTCCTTCTGCCTTCACGCTAAACACCCTTAATGCTGAAAATTCATGTTCTTCACCATACAAACACAGAAGCGGATCCAAGTACTTAGTCAAGTTCCTAGATGTTAACATAAACTGAAACACATTAGTGAAACCAAGTTCCTAGATGTGAATGAACTGAAACATACATGCATTAATAAGTGTGATACCTATTTGTTTTCCTGGTATCATATTGATGCTCTTAGGTCGATTTTAAGAGAGTTTCCATGGTTATTCAGTATAATTTCGTTATCACTAGTGGCGCAATCGATAGAAAATCCCACGGATATACACATGAACATGTAATTCTGTCTGAACTATTATTGATATAGGGATATTGATTATTTTCCCGTTGTTAATAAAAAGTACTTCCAAAATTTATACACGATTTAATTTTTTCTTAGTTACATCCCCTCCTGTCGATTATAAAAGTATTTATAAATTTCTGATCCGCCTCCGTATAAGTGTCTATAACAATACATCTAATGCGTTATGTATATCATTCACGTACATGTATATAATACATGTATCAATCGCGGTAAACATTGTTGTGAAATACGAAATAATGTAAAAATGGTTATAATACTTATTTGCACTAGGAAAACCTTACAGGGGGTGACAAATCCCATTGCCCGACGCCCGAGGCTAGTGAATTTTAGGTGGGCAAGTGAAATTTTATCAACCACTTGCCCACGGGCAAGTGACTTATCAAAAATAGAATTTATTTGTAGGCCATAAATTTAAAGCTGGACGTAGGGGCTTGTATGATTTACTCAGCATTTGTCTTCCTCTTTTTTTGAAAAAATATCTATAAATCCAGAATTAGTTTAGGTAGGGCGCAAGCAAAAATTCAGGAAGGGCAAGTCAATTTTGACCATGTACTTGCCCTTGGACAAGTGCCTTAAAAATCTATTTGTCAGCCCCTGGACCTTACAAGTTCTGCTTTAAGGAAAATAACATAAATTATATTAATATATCCTATGTACTCTTTCATCTAATAATATTTAAAAGCTTCTAGATTTTTTTCGAACACAAGTATTTAAGTTATATACTAGTATACATAAAGAATTATCATATAAAATAACAGTTTTACAGTAAAATATTTTTCTTTTCTAAAATAAAGGACATGTGGATTTCAACGTACATATAAAGCTGAAGAAACATCGCAATTCTCTAATTACCTTAATTAACGTGTTTGAATTAAATCCAAAACCTTCTCGGATCATTGTAGCACTTGTTTCAAGACAGAACATCGTTTGTATTTGTGCAGGGGTAGTCTTTTATGTCTGTTAACTGTACCGATCGATATAACCTCTACTGATTGTGTAGTACTCCAAGATAACAAAGAATATACGATCAAAAAAGGCTTCCTTACTCAATGGAAGTAAGTCTTGCTATCTTGTTATCTTATAAGTTGAACTTGTGTCAGGTCTCTCATACATACCATCGCTATATAGCATTATTTCCTTAGAAGTAATAAATTTAGACACCCCCACCCTCCCCATTTCTACCTGCAAAAGTGTTTTTCTTAGACCGACCTAAAATTAAGCATGTTAAGAGGTTGCAGATATGTCCATTTTGTTTGAAATGAGAGAGGAACCACTACATTCCCCTATAAGTCAAAATTTACACATTTTAATTTGGTTTAAGGTCTAATTTAATTTTTTTCCCATCCACAAAGAAAGGGGGCGTTAGATCCCCCCTTCCCCGGATAATATGATCTTGAAAAATAGATATATCTCTTTAACTAAACACGCTCCCTCCCCCATTCATGTAACAATAACAAGTCTGATAAATTTTTTTTTAATTGTTCCTATAAATAAAATATATGCTAAACATATACCAGATTTCAATTAGTGGTATTTTCAGTAATATTTAAAGGAGCTGTTTCTGTTCTTAAGTACCCCCTCCACTCCCAATTAACCCTTTCCCATTGTCCTTGAACAACGACTTAAGGACCGGTATACACGGCGATTTCTACTTTTTGACATTATCTCCCCAAGATTAATCAGACAGCTACTGTGAATGACTTTAGTAACTGATATCTCTAATTCAGGTCTTATTTTTAACACCGACCTTCCCCCCCCCCCTTAATTATAAAGGTATACACTGAATAAACACGAATAAAAGTAACACAAAATGTCTGAAACTTTATCCTTTTATGGGTTACTATAAAGGAAAAATTTAATTGAAATTAAAGCTGCATGAAAAAAAAATGTAATGACGTTTACTGACTTTGACCCACTTTAAACTTTTTTTTCAGATTATAACAGTGATAAAGTGTTCCAGTTGAAAGACAACCTTACTATCACTAGTTTTCGGATTCATTTAAATCGATCTGAATAACATTTCAACGAAATCGTTTAGTCCTCTATATGATTTTCTTCTTTTTTTTCAGTGTAAGATTTTTGAATGATTTAAATTGACCTGAACTCGTTGAATTCTATATTTACAACAAAGTAAAGGGATGGTGATGTTAAAAGAAATTGATAAAACCTTAAAGAAAAAGAAAACTTTTTTTAAAAACTCTATATTTAAAAGGAATAATATGTCTCATCTTTTAAAGTAGCATGTGAACATCTGTTTTTATTTATTTATGCACTGATGATTTGTTAAAATCAAAGCGTTAAAGAATTTTACGGATATGTATTAAATCAATTAATATTTTTTGTCGAAAGGATGGGAGAATATGCAATGCAAATAAAAAATAATAAGCTCCGAATATATATTTATCATAATTTAAATGATAACTTTTTTAATAATAGAAAAAATTCAGGATAGATAATACCCTTAATTACAAATTAATAGTTGGCATCTAAAGAGATTACAGACAAAACTTGAGAGAGAGAGAGAGAGAGAGAGAGAGAGAGAGAGAGAGAGAGAGAGAGAGAGAGAGAAAAGGAGAAAGTTAAGAGAATAGTTATTAGGAGAGAGAGAGAAAAGGAGAAAGTTAAGAGAATAGTTATTAGGAGAAAGAGAGAAAAGGAGAAAGTTAAGAGAATAGTTATTAGGAGAGAGAGAGGGGTTTTACCTTTACTCATGGTTCCTGAACTTCACGCTGATTTTTTCTCAAAATCTTTAAAGGGAAAGGTAGTTTCTGCGTGACCCAGTTTCCAGAGGTGGAAGTAATTATCGGCCAATTCCGGGGTAGTTAACCTATAGTCAAACAGTATCTATAGTAATACAACACTGCTGTAATTATCAAGGAGGTAGGCGCTGTCTTTCATTATCATTAAAAAAAGATCACATGGTCTATTTAAATTTCTGAAGAGTGTTCAATTTCATTAAGTTTGTATTAATTCCCCGTACCCTTTGTTGTATCTAACAACCCAACCTGGCCTGTTTCACAAAAAAAAAAAAAAAAATTCTAATAGAAGAGTCACCGAGTCTTTACCTTATCAGGCGGTAACTATAAACCTTATGTAAATTTTTTAGAAGCTTGAGTCAACATTTCTCACTGATTGAAACTTCGCTAATCATGAATAGCCACACAACAGCCTCAAAGCAAATTCTGTTAACTAGCCGTCAGTTTCTCTTATTCACATATTAGAGAGGTTGAGGTCTTAAATTTGTACGCGCACGTGTATTTGTACATATACTTAGACGTACACGTACACGTTTTTGTAATTTGTCTATTAAGATTTTTATGACGTGAAACAGGTACGTGTATATCACGATCGATGTTTCTGTGTGAACTATTTTGAAATTTTTTAGTAGTATCTCTTTAATAGATATCCGTTATTTATTTATTTATTTTTTATTTATTTATTAATTTTATTTACTTATTAGTTCATTCAAATAACTACGCCTGGTCATGGATCGCCTGTTTCTGTCGACTGTAAGTTCATAACTTTGTCTTTAACCCTCATTACCCCTGTTCACTCTAATGAAACGTTTACACGCAAACACGACACCTTCTTTAGCATTTTTTGTACGCATACAATGCATTCATAGATTTTTTTTAGGATAGTCTTCCAAAAGAACTAATGAGAAAGATATTCTGCTCAAAACATAAAAAAAAATTCTAACATTCTGAAAAGTGGAGTTAGGTGACATTATTTAGTGGGTAATAGAACCTGAAGGGTAATAGGAGATGGCGATTTGTGTTAATATTTTCCGTGTTCAAGTCAAATTTCCACAGGCTATTTTTTTTTAACAAATAAAAGCGTCTGTAAGTCACTTTTAAATTTTTATCAAGTAAATCAAATGTAGGTCTTTTAAAAGGGTTTACATCAAAATGATTTAGATGTCAGATATACAAAAAGATGTGCGAACAAGGTCTACAGAATGCGGCAATGCCTATATACATGTATCTTCAGCTATATAAAAAAATTAAATCGTACTAATATGGTGAGTTTAGTATTTAAAATGAAGTTAGTTTAGTATTTAAGAGCCATTCTCTGTAACGACTTGAAATTTTATATAGGAGCTGTGGCACGCATAGTCTCAGAATTTCTCCAAACTCTCTACGATAAAAGTCATTGATACCCTAAACTGAAATCAGGCAAAAATTGGTTGCTATGTTTTATAGTTACCATGGCAACATGTCTTAAAGTTCGAAAAATGGCATTTTTTAACATGTTTAGAGCCCCATAGTAAACATTTGCGGCAAAGCAAACAATTGGCAATGACTATTTCCAAAAGTTGAAGGTCAGATGTCTGAAATGCATGATAAACATGTTTGGTAAATCAACTATTACATACGTTACTATGGTAACAAAGTATACAAAAGTAAAAAAAATATTCATTGAATTTTATAAAGTCATACAGGTAAAAATAAAAAGCAATTATGGGATGAAATGTGACCTATAATAATAGAAAAAAAGTACCATGAAACATATACCATTAACAAAATATGATATTTCATTTTGGTTGGCAATGGTTACCAAGGTTTTTATACCACAGAGAGCCTTCAAAGTAACAATCTGTATGTTTAAATTTGATCCTATCTTTTAAAAAAGCACATTTCCTCATAATTAATGATCAATTTTTAAAGACGTTGGTGTGCTCCTAGTTTTCCCATTTGAAAAAATTCAGATTACATTCTATAAATAGAGCGTTGCTATGGAAATAAGCAGAAAATATATGCTTAAAAACCCGAAAAATATTTTCTTTCCTATGATACGTACCTTTTAATGTAGATTCCCAAAACTTTTATAATTGATATTTATTAACAGCTAATCTGACTTTTAATTTTGACCATCGTCCAATCTCTAAGTGGATGCAAGAAGTTGGCACACAGGGTTTAATATTGATATAAAGTTCACAAAATCGAACATTTTCCCTTCTTGGTAACCATAGCAACAGTGTTGTTTTCTTCATCGAATTTTATCAATATATGATATTCAACTTCAGTTCTAACAGATCTATTCAAGCTGAGTCCTTTAATTTGTTTCTTGATTAAATGGCAATTTAATTCTTAATGCAGCGAAAAATAATTCACTTTTAAGCACTGGTACTTTGTTTCCATGGTAACACTGCAATGTAGAAATTATACCCAATTTTTCTTATGGTTTTGGTGTTGCAAGGTCCTAATGATGCATACTTGCCAGTCTTGAATTTTCATGTTTTTCCTCAAGACAGTAGCATTAACTGAATCTTAGTTACTGGTTTTGCATGGTTACACTGTGTTACCATGTCAACCAGAAAAGTTATTTATAGAATAATATTGCTTATACTTATATACTTAAGGTCAAACATTTTCATTGTTTTTCTTAAGTCGTTGATTGAGTTTGAGCATGTAACACCTACCATTAGTAAATGCGGAGTGTTTTTCAGCATATTTCAGCATTTTAAATGTATTCCAAATGTAACCTTGGTTACCACTTGCTTAGACATATATTCTAAACAGGTTCTTTACAGTAAAAATGACATCAAGGTGTCTTGTTTTTGTGAGAATGGTTTGTTTGCTTTTTCTTGTTTTTATTAAGCCACAGTCAAGATTTAAAGTGGCTGAAAATCTCGATTTTTCAAACATTTCCGGCTGTTGCCATAGCAACCGAGACACATAGCAACGATATTTTGTTTGACATTTGTTTCTGGTGTCAAGTACTAAGCATGGGTGAAGTTTCATCAAAATCGGTGACCATGCGTGGAAACGAAGTTTAAGTGGTTATAGAGAATGGCTATTAAAATGAAATTCTTATTTTACATGTAGAAATTCATGATATGATGACAAGGAAAGGGATTTGCGGAATTCTTTTTATTTTCGGCAATAGATATTATTATCATAAAAAAAGCGTTCCTTGTCATGTCCTTAATGCATGGTCATGATACTTTTTCCAATTTTTCCAATACTTTTTTCCAATTTTTGTGCGTTCATGCTATTTCATTATCATATCCAAGTCATAACTTTTACCTTTATATTTGTCTCACCATTAAGGTATTTTTCTTGTTTTAATCGTCCATTTTTCAACTTGGAATTCATATACTATAGTATTTCATTATTTACAACTGCGACAAAGTATCTACCCATCCCCTAATTGAAACGTGTTGATTTTATTCAAATTATCAAGGTATTTTTACTATTATATTCATTATTTTTATCGATGAATGATTAAATTTTTATTCATTTTAAATGAACATCTGTACGTCACTGATAATTATTGTTGCAAGTAGAATCCATAGAAGTTTAAATGTAAAACACGATAAAATCTTTTGCATGCAGTCATACAATTCATAGTTTCAAAAATATTATTCTTAGCCTATAAAAAAAAATAAATAACAGTTTAGAGCAAATTTCACAAGAAAGAAAGAGGAGTCGACCTACCATATTTATACTGATACTGAGAATGAGCATACTTTATAAAAATCTTATATCCAGCCGTCTGTCTCACACACACTTATATTTTATGCGTTATCTGACCCCATTTTTAAATATTTTTATGCCAACCCAGGGTATGCTACAATAAAACATACGTAAGGGTTACACTATCTAGTGGGGGTATTCCAGGCCACGATGCTACACACTGCTGTACATACCAATAAATGTTTCATTCTTTGGAGGTTAATATAATAAATGTTGCTAACAGCTGCAGTCATTATTGCTATATTAACCTCTAAATGAAACGTTTACATGTAAATAAGACAGGGTCCTTAACATGACTCCAGAGAAAACCAATCTTCATATATACTGTAACATATAGATAAACTAAAGCGTGATCTATCATTCTGATGCAGTAGGAGACTGCCTATGTTATTACATTTGAATAAAACTAAGTCTAGAATCACACGATTTTCTTTTGAAACACTTTTTTTCTTTTCTTTCTTACGTGTGTGAGTGGGAATTTTGTATGATTTGTTAGTGTTTAATGCCCAAAAAACGTATTTTTTCAATATGTCGAAATTGAGTTTTTTTAAATTTGCATTTTCAAAACGCCCCTTCCTTTAAAAACATTCATCTGTTTTAAATTGTTTTATTTTCCAATCCTTATAGTTGTTGGAAAATTATTTATTCATTGAATGCGTAGGTGTTGTATCTGCTACCTATGATATATTTGTTTTGTTCTGATTTTTGTATGAGAAAATAAATAATTTATGTTTATTTAACTCTTTACAACTTACTGAACTGTTATGCAACATACACTTAATGTTCACGTCATAGAAATAGAAATTTACCATTTCCCCGCAAGCACCTTTTAGCGTGGTACACGTTTCTCTAAAGTAAAGCGCAAATAATATTATGACGTAATATTTTATACAAAAATAACTTTTCTCATTTCTTAAGATTTTTGCAAGTATAAAATCTCAGGAAATTGCCATTAAATTTAAGATTAAATGAACTTTTTAAAGTGCGTGAAAATGCGTGATTGCGGGGAAACGGTATATGCGTGATTTTGCGTTAGAAATAGGAAATGGTATATGTGTTAAAATGCGTGACTGCGGGGAAGGGGGTTAAAGGGGTTTGGTGGTTGTGGCCATTTTTAGACTAGTTTGATCTCCTTTAGAGCTTCATCTATACAGATGCAAATATGATCAAAATTTCAAAACCAAAATGTATGAAAGCATGGTGGTTAATTTGTTGACCCCCACCCTCCTTCAGAACATAACTACAAATGACTTCTTTTGTTATACCTTTGTAAGCAAAATTATGTTTTTCCCTTGAAATGTTATTTTTCTTTAGGCTATTTTTAAAGAAGTAAA